TTCCCTGTGATCCTTTGTATTCCTTCTCTCTGGTTCCTATCTATACCCAACCCAGACACTCCCTGATCTGTTTTCTGTCACTGTGGGTTAATTTGCACTTTTTATAGTGTCACATCAATGAATTCAGATAGTTTTTTTTATCTGTCTAGCTTCTTTTTAGGCCAATTATTTTCAAGTTTTTTGATGCTACATGAATCCACTTCATTCCTCTTTATAGTGAAAGCTGTTGACTTGCATGGATATAACCATGTTTTTTACATCCACTTATTTTTTTCTTGGGTATTTGAATTGTTTCCAATTGTTGATCATTACAAATAGAACTGAACACTTGTATACAAGTCTTTAGGGACACTGTTTCATTTCTCTTGGGTAGAAACTTAGTGACTTGAGTGGCTGGAAGAGATTCAGGAGTATGCCAACTTTTTCAGAAGTTTCCCCACCCTTCTAAAGTAGTTACATGCTTTTACATTTGCATAGGCACTGCATGAAATTTTCCGACATAGTATATTTCTCAAATTCTTGCTATGGCCAGTCCATTCAGATTGTGTGGTAGTATGTTATTTTGGTTTGTATTTCTTTGACTAATTATGAACATCTTTTCATATACCTGTTTGACATCAGTATACTTTGGTCAAATGTCTGTTCACATCATTCGACAAGTTTTTAAAGATTTATTTATTTGAACACTAGGGTAGGAGTTAGAGGGGGAGAAAAGGGAGGAAGAGGGATTTTCCATCTGCTGGTTCACTCAGTGAATGGCTGCAATGGACTGGAATGGGGCAGGCCCAAGGACAGGCCAGGCCTGGGCCAGGAGCTTCATTCTGGTCTCACATGTGGGTGCCAGGGGCCCAAACACTTGAGCCCTCTTCCTCTGATTTTTTTTTTTTCACTCCAGGCTATTAGCAAGGAGCTGGATCAGAGGTGGAGCAGTCAGAATAACAACCAGTGCCCAAATGGCATTACCCACTACTTCACAATACTGGTCCATTTTTACTCATTTTTAATTGGGTTGCTTATTATTGAGTTTGCAAAAGTTTCTTATGTATTCTGCATATAAGTTCGTCACCAGATGTATGATTTCCAGTTTTTTCAGAGTCCATTGGTTGTCACTCATTCTCAGCAGTATTTTTCAGTGAGCAAATTTTTAAATTTTGATAAAGTCCAATAGATAATTATTTCTTTTATGGATTATATTTTTAGTTTTAAAAATTATTTCTTAGATACAATTTCTATCGCTTCTCAGCCTTTTGGCTAAGATTAAGTGCAGAAATAATTGTTAACCCAAGAATACAAAGGCTTTAATCTGTGGTATCTAATTGAAGTTTCACAGCTTCAACTTTTATATTTTTGCCTGTGATCTATTTTGAATTTTGGATATTGTTTGAAGTATGGATCAAAGTTCACTTTTTCGTATAAGGATATCCATTTGTTCCAACAGTGTGTGTTTGTTCAAGAGACTGTCTCTTCTCCACCAAGGTCTCTGCATTTTGATTACAGTCAGTATTCCATTGTGTGGTTCTATTTCTGGAATGTTGATTCCCATTGATTATGCCATATTAAACTGTCTTTGTTACTTAGTTTTGTAATTACTTCATTACTAAGCATTTGACACATTTTCAGTTTGCAGAAGCTTTGACTTTGTTGTTTAACTGTTGTTTGACTATTCAAGAATCTTCGCATTTCCATATGAATTTTGTTATCTTCACATTTCTACAAAAAAATCCTGCTGGGATTATGATTGTGATTTAGTTTTATGGAACAATTTCAGGAGAAATGAAAATGATGTGTAGAACTCACTTATTGGCTGTAGTATCTTTTTTGGTAGATTCCCCAGAATATTTTAATAGATGATCACATCATCTGAATAAACAGATTTTTTCCCCCATCTAAATGTTTTTATTGTTGCCCAGTTGCACTGGCTAGGACCCTTGGTAGAGTTGACTAGAGGTGATGAGAGCCCATGTCCATGTTTTGCTCTAATATTTGGGAGATTGCTTTCAGTCTTCCACCATGAAGTATGCTGTTAGATGCCTTTAATCCAATAGAGAATGTGTACTTCTGGTCTTCATTTGCAGAGAACTTTAATCAGGAATGGATGGTAATTTTTTTTGTTCGTTGAGACTATGATATGCTTTTCTAACTTATTTGCTAAATAACATTGATACTTGCATCCTAACATGACCTCGGGATCCCAAGATATGTAGACATTTTGTATCTGTTCATGAGGGATGCTGATCGGTCTCTGCCCTGATGATGTCTGCATCTAGTTCTGGTATCAGGGTGGTACATCATAGAATGTGTTTCTGGTGGTTGTTTGCAAGAGTTTGTGAAAAATTTTATCTTTGAAATGTTTGTTAAGATTTAGCAGTGCAGTGTTCTGGGTATAGGGTTTACCATGAGGGTGTTTTGTTTGTTTGGTTTAATTTCTGTCCTAATGTCAACCTAATCTGTGTTTCTATATTTAAAGTATGTTTCTTGTAGGCAGCTTATGGTTTTGTTACCCTTTAAATCTAAGGAAAATCTTGCCTTCAACTTCATCACTGATTTTTTTTTTCCCTCTCAGTTCTTACTAGCTGTGGTCATGCCTAGAGCTTGAGCCTGGACGAATGGCTGGGCAAAGGAGAACACTGCAGTCACCGTGACTGCTTATCCCTATGCCCTTCCAGGGTGGTCTCCACACTAGCAATACCATCACTTGGGAACTTGCTAGAAATGCAGGTTCTCTGACTCTACTCCAAACCTACTGAAATTAGAAACTTACAGGGTGTGGTCCAGCGATATCTGTAGTTCTTGTTAATTTGCTTTTTATTTTTTGACTCTTAAAAATTGCATCTACAAACATGAATGGAGTACTAGGTGATGTTTCATGCATTATATATGTGTGTGTGTATATATATATTATATATGTGTGTGTGTGTATACACACACACACAAGCCTTTTAAGTGATTTCTGATGCAGCAAAGTTGAAGAACTGGCCTAGCTGGACCTTTACTTGAACTAGGGAGAGGCACCAGTTGGATCTGTTAGCAAGGAAAGATGGAGTAGTAGTGTTCCCATAATAGGGCTGTGGAAGGACTCAGGAAATGATTTTTTTTTTTTTTTTTGACAGGCAGAGTGGACAGTGAGAGAGAGAGACAGAGAGAAAGGTCTTCCTTTGCCGTTGGTTCACCCTCCAATGGCCGCCGCGGCCGGCGCGCTGCGGCCGGCGCACCGCACCGATCCGATGGCAGGAGCCAGGAGCCAGGTGCTTTTCCTGGTCTCCCATGGGGTGCAGGGCCCAAGCACCTGGGCCATCCTCCACTGCACTCCCGGGCCACAGCAGAGGGCTGGCCTGGAAGAGGGGCAACCGGGACAGAATCCGGCGCCCCGACCGGGACTAGAACCCGGTGTGCCGGCGCCGCTAGGCGGAGGATTAGCCTAGTGAGCCGCGGCGCCGGCCTAAAACAATTAATATAATAGTTGATGGAAATAGTATAGATCACACTCTAAGAAAAAAATGATATTGGAGTTACTGTTAAATCAATTTTAAAAAAACTGGGAGGCAGAAAAAGAGCTCCCATTTGCTGGTGCAGTCCCTAAATGCTCACAGCAGTCTGGCTAGGCTGCAGCCTGGAGTTGGAAAGTTAATTCAGGTGTCTGATGGTGGTGACAGGGACCCAATTGCTTGAGCTGCCTCCAAGGGTCTGCCTTAGTAGGAAGCTGGAGTCCGGAGATGGAGCCAGGTGTTGAAATTAGGTACTCCTATGTAGGGTGTAAGTGTCTTAACTGCTAGGCCAAACACTCACCTCCATTAAATGGGTTAAAAGAGCTCTATTATAGAGTGAGAATCTGTAACAAGAGTTAATACACAGTGTCCCAAGGGCAAATCAGATCTGATGCTTGTTATGTATGTCTGGTAAGTGATGGGAACTTTTGACTCCGCCCCCCCATCATATAAAAGAGTGGGAAATTCTTAGAAATTCAGCTTTCAGTGTCTATAAATGAAGTTTGTAGGAACAGTCGTGCTTTTCCACTTGCATACCAGCTCTGAAGCTGTTGGGCTGGGATGGCAGAATTGACTAATTGTGAGGGAGATCATGTGGCCCAAAGGCCCCAGGTATTTTCTAGCTGGCCCTTTGCAGGAGAAGTTTGCCAATCTCTGACCCATAAGAAAGAACTATGGAAAAATAGTATGATCCCCAGCAATCTTGGATATAGCTGATAAGTTGCTAGCATAGGCAGAAGTCTTGTCTAGGACATTGGAATTGCAAATAATGAAGTGTTATTTCAAGAATATATGCTCATTATAATTAGGGAAACTTTGAAAGAATATTAAATTAATGAGATTTATAATTAAAAACAAGCTTACTTGAGTGAGGTCAGCAATTGCCAGGAGGTACTTGCTCTTCCTCCGCCCTCACTCCCACACCTGACCTTTTCAGTTAACTGGTGGATATTCCTCAATATAAACTTGCTTGTATAACCCTATAATGGGAAATACCGTAAATTTTTCCTTGGCCTAGATTTGAGATGGGAGAAATAGCTGATGTATTTAAAGATTTATAGAATCGGCAAACAACTGACTGAGTTGTGTTTAGACTTTTTTAAATCTTTTACAGTACACTTAAGATTTGTCTTGCTTACGGGGTCATGTTTACATCCAGTTATCTGAGTTTACATGAGATTCTGTTGCCAAAGAGATGAAAATGTTGCTCTAGAAATGTGAAGTGAGATGGATCGTTGTAGGACCTGTTGAGGGCTACTTCAGTAACAAAAGTGCCTGATTTCTTCCTCAGGTGCAGTTAAGGGGGACATCAATAGAACCTTTTTTGAAGTCACTACCGAAAGTATCCTATTCTGTTTGGGGAATATTTGCCATTAAAAATGACTTTGGTACTTTACAGCAATCAAATGTGAGTTTTCTTCTGTAGAAACTGTTAAATAGACATTGTTCTCCCCCCAAAGAGAGGTTACTCTGTCTACCTGTATCATACCTATAATGTAGATTTCTTTTTTCAAGGTTGTACGTTGGCTCTTCCAAGACGTTCACCTCATCAGAGAAATCCCTGAATCCTTTGCAGTGGTGTAGACACGTCCTAGATAACCCGACTCCTGAGATGGAAGCAGCGAGGCGTTCCCTGTGCTTTAGACTGGAGCAAGGTACTGTGAACCTGTGCATTTACATTGCTGGTTTGGGAACAGACACTTCAATTGAAGACTTGCCCCTGAGCAGCCGCTGTTTGCTACATGTTTTCCCCATCAGAGTTCTTCAGTGTGGAGTGTTTGGTTTTGTGCTTGTTTTCAGACAGATTTCTTAGCTTTTCTTTGTGTTATAAAGTGGGAACACATCTGTTTTTCTCTGTCCTTCTGTTTGCAAATATACTAATATGCAAATTGAATCAGTCTTGAGGTCTCTGGAGTTGGGAACAGGGTTGTGTGGTGGCAGAAAACTGGGGTAACATTGGGATCTGAGGACCAAACTTACTGAGCTCCTTCTGTGTTGAATGGGGTTTAACCTAGAAGAAGTTGAGCTTCGTAAACTGGGAAGGGATCTTCATAGTTAAATTATAGAGATCAATAGATGTTTAATGATAAAAAAGGTTGTAGAAGAAAATAGCAAAAGGAAAGAGTAGTACTCAGCTCCTTGCTATTTGGATACTATAGACCACATCAAGCTGTGATTAGAATTTTTAGAAGGTATTTAGTTTGATTTTATTTGAAAAAACAGGTAGAGAGAAACACAGAAAGCTATCCATTAGTTCACTCTACAAATGGCTGCAACAGTTGTGACCAGGCCAGGCTGAAGCCAGGAACCTAGAGTTCCATCCAGGTCTCCCACATGGGGAGCAGAGACCCAAGTACTTCAGCCAGCATCACTGCCTCACAGGGTGTGCATTAACAGGAAGGTGAATTTGAAGTGGACTAGGACTGGAAACCAGTGATTTTGATGTGGATGCAGGTGTCTCAAGCTTTGTCTTAATTGCTGCATCTAACACTTACACCAAAGCCATGATAATTCAAGCTTTTGGCCTGTCTCTTAACCTCTTTGTATCTGTTTCATGATGTAGGGATCACTGTGTTTTCTGTAGACTACCTGCATTCAAGTCCTATATGAGCTTGAAAGTACAGAACCCTGCCCCTTCCATATTGAAGGGTGAGAGTATATCTGAGGGTAGGGCCAAGAGAATCTGCAGTGACAAGGTCACAACATGACCTTAGCCACAGTGAAGTTTGAGAACACCGCCCATGAAGCTCTTAACCATTTTTTGAGCTCTTGATTCTGAGATGGTCGGTGCCTTATGTTCTTGATGTCCTTTGTCTTCCTCTAACTGCAGTCATCTGAGGTCAGTACCATGCTTAGCTTTGGAGGCAAGGAAAGTGAGGGTAGGAAAGTTCAGAGGATTGGAAGGGCAGAGTGTTTCTCGGGGACAGGGTCAGAGGCAGGGTACCAGTCACTCAGTCCCTAACTGCTATTCTCTACTGCTGTGTTGTCACAGCCGTAAGTAAATATCTGCAGAAATCTGTTTGGGAAAGCTTGGAGTTAAAACATTATATTCACATTTTGAACCAAAATGAAAGAAGTGATTCAGTAATAACAGGTTGAAGAGAGTGTGAGAACCAAGGTGTGCCAAGCTGAGAACTTCAGGAATGGATGACTAATAGAGCAGCCACATTTGTGTCAGGAGACTCAACATTGGTTCTGTTCCCATTTCTCTCTAAGCAAACCATTAAATCTCTGGACTTCATTCTTTTAAGGATTGTATAGAGTATTATCAACACCTCTTGATTTCATTGACCAATAATTTAAAGCAAAATTCAAATGAAATTCAGAATGATACATACTTTTCCACAAAAGGGGCAGATAGTAAATACCTTAGGGTTTACAGGCTACAAAATCTGTCTTGGCTATTCAACTAAACCCTCATCAGAAAGTAGCCATAGATGCAAAAATGAATAAGGGTGTTCTACAATAAAACTTGATTGATAGACTCGAAGATCAGAAGTTTACATGATTTTTCACATCAAGAAATATTTTTCTTTGACCGTCTTCCTTCAACCATTAAAAAAATAAAAATTATTAGGTAGTATATATTTTAAAAAGCAAACAAAAACAAAAGAGGCTGGATTTGATCCACCTCAAAGCTATTGGTTGGCAAAGCCCACTTTACCTGCTTTGTACGTAGGATAGGTTTATATACAAGGTAGATTGTAATAGAGGAGAAACTTTTGTTAAGTTTAATGTATAAATTATCTTAATTGATAATTACTTTTGAGATTTTAGACTAAGCAACCAAGTATCTCACTTGGCTGTTATTGACAAGAGTACAAAGCTGATTTGTGATACAATGAGGCCATGGGTGGATATGATACAGTTTTACTCATTTAAATTTCACATGAAAGGATTTAAGTAGAGATTTATTTTAAAACCAATATTAGGTCTGTTACTAAATTTGTACACAAATCTAAAGTGTCTTTGTCACAAGACTGTTTTTTTTTCCAAAGAGCCATCATCCTATTATGAGGTAAGAAGTAAATGACTAGAACAAGTTTATTGAATGACACATTCTTTTTTAAAATTTTAACTTAATATTTTATAAAATTAGATCTGCAATCTAAACATTAATATCCTGAATATTGTAAGAAAAGTGGCAGATTCTTGTTCCATCATCCATGCCCATTTTGTCTCCCTGTTGCAGTCACTTAATAACAGCTCTTTGTTTTGGTTTTGTCCTTTACCTCTTCTCAAATTCCATGCTTATGACTACTGTTTAAGCTTCCAACTTTGGAAATGATCCGTTCCTTTTGACTTCGGGTTGTGAAGGTTTCATTCTCTCAATACTTCCTTCCTCAAACTTTTTCTCCACATATTCTCCCCATGTGTATTAGACTGTTTTAGACTACATCAATATTTGTTGCAGGAACACTCATTTCTAAGCCATGTAATGTTTTCCTATTTTTTTCACCTAACTTCTGCTTTTGAGTTAATCGTAATATACTTTCTTGAGTCTTTTAGTTCATCCTCCAACTGCAGTTTATTTTCCAACTCTGGGCCATCCTGATTATGGTGAAACACATGCACCTGAGGGTTTTGCTTTGTTAATCTCCCAACAGTGCCCTCAGCCGTGACTCTCACTTGAACTTGTCCTCTGACAGCCAGCAGCGTCATGCTGGCATTTCCTGTAGGTTGCTCCTGGGAATTCCTCTGGTGCCTCTTGAGTGTTGTATCAGCTTTTTCCGTGATGCAAAAATTTTGTTCTCTTTATATTCTCTTTCAGTAGAATACAGTCTCTACTGGCTTTTTGGGGGCAGTAAGAGGGAAAAGACACAGGAGGTAAATTTTGAGCTCCTTGGGTCTCTGAAGATGGCTTTTATTGTCCCTTTACCTGAATGCTTATTTGTCTTTGGACTAGGTCTAGAATTCTAGTTTTAAATACATTTCCCACAGGATTTAGAAGGCGTTTATGTATAACTTAGTTTCTAGATTGCCATTGAAATTCTGTAAAATTCTTTCTTTTTAATTTTTGAGAGACAGAGGGAACTATTCATTGGTTCACTTGTGAGATGCCCACAGTAGGTAGGACTGGACCTGAGTCCAGAGCCTGGAGTCAGGAACTCAATCTGGGTCGCCCACACCAGTAGCAGAGACCCAATTACTTGAGCTATCAACTGCCATCTCCCAGGGTCCACATTTGGCAACAAGCTGGAGCCTGGAATTGCATCCATGTGCTTGCAAATTGGATATGGGTCTCTAAACAGATATAACTGCCAGGCCAAATGCCGTCTCATTCCGCTCTTTGATTCTTTGATTTGTGACATTTTCATGTAAATACCTTGAGTATTTTATGATCTTCTATTTCTGGTATTTTAAAATTTCACTCTTTGTGCTAGGCATTTGTAGAGCACTTTCAACCAGGAAACTTTAGCCCTGAAAAGTTTCTTGAACTATCTGTAATACTTTCCTCCCATTCTTTCCTTTCTTGAAGCTCCTGTTGTTGAGGCATTAGATCTTCTTGGTTGATGGTCAGATTTTATATTCTGTTCTTGCTTTCTAACCTTGATTTTGTTGATGTTTTTGGAGATTTAAAAACCAATCTTCAGAATGTCTGCTCACTTACTTGTGTCAACCATCATTAGAGTTAATGGGGATTTACATGTCAAGTCCCTGCCCTGTTGAGCTTATCTTCTGACATGGAGATTTTCACTTAATTCTCCTTTCTTTTTTTTATCCACTTTTTAAAAATATTTTATTTAACAGAGTTATAGACAGAGCCAGAGAGAAAGGTCTTCCTTCCGTTGGTTCACCCCCCAAATGGCCGCCATGGCCGGTGCTGCCCTGATCTGAAGCCCGAAGCCAGAAGCTTCTTCCTGGTCTCCTATGCGGTTGCAGGGGCCCAAGCACTTGGGTCATCCTCCACTGCCCTCCTGGGCCACAGCAGAGAGCTGGACTGGAAGAGGAGCAACCAGGACTAGAACCCGGCACCCATACGGGATGCCGGCGCCGCAGGTGGAGGATTAACCAAGTGAGCCATAGCGCTGGCCCCAATTCTCCTGTTTTTATAAGGTGCCTTATTTGTGTGTGGTGTCCTTGAACCTAGTGGCTTTCTGTTGCAGTTTATTCAAGTAGTAAAGCTCCTCTTTATAAAAAGTAGGAGAGGAATAGTTGCTTGGGTGTGGGAGAGAACTCCGGGATTTGAGTAATGGGTATAGATTTTCAAAACAGTCCTTTGTGTTTGTGTCACTAAGAACTCCCTGTCAGCATGGTGCCTTGCCCTTGCAGTTCAGAGCCTTCCAGAGGTCCTGTGTCCCATGCTGTGGGCATGTAGAGCGCAGAATGCCAAATCCCACGTCTATTACCTGGTGATCACTGTTGTTTACTTCTAGGATTGTGTGAGCCTCCTTAGTCTGATGTCTTCTCATTCAATCTTTGTTGCAGGTATAAGAATCCAGTTTTAACTGTTGCTTTAGTGTGGTTTTGTAGACCTATTGAGTTTTTCTTGGCTTCTGATTAAGGGTGTCCTTTGTCAGTGATTTTCTATAAGATATTAGAAACTGATTTTTTTTTAACTCAAGCTTTAATAATATATAAATACTTAATTGGAATAATGTGGTCATTCCATATTTTAAAGTTTCAGTAACTGTAACAAAGCATGTTTCTTTTT